TTGCAAAAACCACTTCCGTGTATATCCGATACAGCTTGAGCAATGAATGCAACTCTGTATCATCATAAATGTGTGTGTGTGTTGTTATAGCACCCCAAATTCTCCCTCTCATTTCCTCCACAAATCATAACAAACCACCCATCCATAACAAAAAAGTATGGATAGCTAATAGAAAATGCAAGGTTGGCCACGTTTGTGTGGTTCAGCGCCCAAGTGCCCACAAACCCGTCTGCCACCGAAGCGGCACACTTGCACATATACAAATATACATATATTTATTTAATCCATAAAAGGGTAGAGGGCAAGAAGCAACTTGAAAGAGCACTCCACCAGCAAGAAAGCACTAACCCCATCCTCCATAGGTCTGAAAAAACTTGGAGAGCCCTCCATGTCGGCACACAAAACCACAAAACACCATAACACAAAAGGCTCCACTAACAAAAAAGCACCGACCACACATGCCACTGGTCTAAACAAATTTTAGAGCTCTCTGTGACGGCCTGCAACGCCACCACAAATCAAAAATACACCGCAGGACCTGTACGCAACACCAAGAGTGTCATGAACCTCCCCCTGCCACAGAACCTGCAGAATCGGATGATGTCCCAGGACTACAGCAAGGCCACTGCGAGTACTATGCCAAATTCCACAAGATCTCCACGGGACACCAGGACCGCAACTGCTTAAAATGCCGTAGAGGCGACCCCATTCTTCATGTGCTCCGAAAGAGCAGCCCGCAAGAATGACACCCACAGCAAACACTCTCTGAGCCTCTTCATAGGGATACTAGGCCAAAACCCCAAACTCCCACCCCAGAAAAAAACTTGTGGCCACCCACAGACATTACTTCATCAACAAGACAGCCCATGGTGCAAAGCAGGGCAAAGAATTAGGCCATGTATAGAAAAAAAAAATGTGTGTGCATTTGTGTGCATTTGTGTGCATGTGAGAGTATGTTGTGCAATTGTACCATTTTGTGAAAACCAGTTCCATGTACATCCAATACAGCTTGAGCAATGAATGCAGCTTTGTATCATCATAAATGTGACATGTGTGTACATTTATCTGGGTATGTGCAGACTGTAAACGCGCGCACGCTGATGTGTATGTAGTGCATATGCATGTGCAAGCGCATATGTCCACGTGTGTCCTTCTGTGTGGTTTCAGTGTGCACATATGTGCACTCAGGATGTGTGCATGTGCATGCGTGTGCACACACGCCTGTGTATCTGAATGCCCGCATGGGTGCACTGCATGCACCCAGGTCTGGATGCATCTTGGAGTAAATGTCTCCTGGGCCATTGATGACGTTTCCGAAGACTCCGATTCCTCCAAGGAAAACCTTTGACACTCTCGGGCATGGGTTCTCTAGGTCTCGGTTTTCGAAGGCCTAAATGACCTCCGGACTACCGGCAGTATCCTACCGGGTAAGGTGTGACTGGAACAGATGCAAACATTCTAGGTTTTCTCAACTCCTGAGCTCGGCCCTACGCACCTGTTCAAGAGCTGACTTTAGTTTGTCAATCTTAAGGGCCCAGGTTGCTGCCTTTATCCATAACCAGTACTTGCTAGGGTCACTTCCATGGGTGTGTCAAGGGACTAGGACCCTTTCAAACCACACCAGTGTCACAATGCCCAACTTTGTTTTTCATTGTTAGCAAATGAATAAGTACAAGCAAGGATGAAAACCGTCTGATTTGTGTGTACGGAAGGATCAAAACGGTCTGAATGAAAGAGGGCATGCAAGGATGAGAACCGTCTCTTGCGTGACTGATTGGCGGTTGGCTGACTGGTCAATTCACTCCATAGTGCTGAGGCAAGGGGGGTGCAGTTTCACACCCCAGCCCACATGGTCAGTAAATCACCGTTGACTGCCAAGCTACTTCAATCGTGGACGAAGACTGAACTACTATCTGGTCCGGTTGTTGAGCCCTCCCCTTTCCCTGATAGAAAATCCAACAACACGCAAAAGCATCCCAGAAGCACGTGAGTGGGAAAAAGAAAGCAAGAAAAGGAGGGGGGGGGGGGGGGGGGGCTATACCGCACAGATTTACGTGCGATAGGCCCAAGTGGCATCAAAAGTACCTACTTGTCACCAGCTCTTGCTTGTTCCACGATCTCATGCCTCAGGATGACATCAAGGCTTCGTGGCAAACTTCCAGCTGGCACCTCGTCAGCATTCTCCTGCACCCTTACTCGTTGCCAGTCAACAAACTTGCACTCATGCCTCATCAGCGCCCATCTCTCTCGGTTTGAGCATGTGGAATTCGGACAGATTGCTGGCTGTTCAAAGAGACAGAAATGCCACATTCCAACCACGCGTCACCTACCAGAACCCACAGGGAGAAAGTGCCGGACAAAAGACGCAAACAAACTGAAGTCAGGTTTGTCTCTTGTTCGGAGAATCAGTCCTGGCGACTATCGTGCATTTGTCTGACCCATACCATGGATACCATGTAAGAAGAAAGCGGAGCCAGCCTGTAGAACCACCTCCACGGGAGAATCAAATGTCAAGAAAAGACCTATCAAGGTTGATTGGGCATTATAGATCTAATAGATCGGATTCCTCAAAAGAGCACATGGGTCAAGGGCACATAGGCCAAGTCACAACTGTTACTCGACAACGAGTTACATATTCGCTGGGCGTTGTCATTTGCATTCAGGGCTTGGCATGTCAAACTCTAAGGAGCAGAAGGATTGATCAACAATTTGAAAAAATGGTACCCCGGACCTGTTTGGACTGGCTGCTGCCCATGCTGTCAAAGACACATCTGCCCACCAGCTGCCTCCTCAACAGCTATCCCTGGACACTCACATCCACCGCATTCCATATTTTTCCACAAAAACTAATCATGCAGGTATCAACACCAGTCGTAAGCTAGACAAACGATACTACTGCGCACATCGACCAGACAAACAACTACCCTTCATCATCATCGCACCGAGATAGACCTCAGCAAAAGGAGCATACAAAGGATAAGAGGTCAAGCAGCTGCTATCTTATATGGATGAGGACAAGGATCGTCCCAAGTACTCGAATGATACAACGGGCCTGGAGGTGACATCGATCTCTTTTGAGGTGCGTCTGTCATTTCATGAAATCAAGAATCAGAGCATCAATCACAACTGCTTGCAGAAGCTTTACCTCCTGAGTTGTGCCACCTGCCTAGTGACATGATCACTCGAATGCAGCTGACTTTGATGTACAATTTTGTCAATGAAAATCATTCAATCCCCTTGAAAGGCTGAAATACGGTTACTTACATTGTGGCATTATACTCATAACCTCGTAAACAACCTACCTGAGTGTACTGGCACTGCTGAAACACGTGGTGGACGACATTGCCGCATTCCAGGCACTTGAAGGTTTCATACAGAAGCTCTCAACAAAATTCATTTCATTTGCTTGAGAGGCTGAGAATATTCCTACTTGCATTTTGGCATTGTGCTCATTCACATCCTACCTGGGTGTATTTGAACTGCTGCTCCACATGGTGGATCACGGTGCCACATTCCAGGCACTTGAAGGTTCCATACAGAAGCTCTGGCCGGACTTCTGATGTTCGCGTCACGGTACCGCTGACAGCCACCAGCTTACCTATTTCTTCCGTTTTGAGGTCCCTCAACCTGAAGACACACCAGAACACATGGGGGAATGTATAACTTGACCGCAATCACAACTACAAGGAAAATAAGCAATAGCAAGATGATAAACCCAGATCACACCATCACATTGCAAGTCAAATAGTCACACTGTGTCCAGATAGTAGCATTGCACCAATAACACACCAATGGAGTTTCGTAGCACTGAAAACCAATGTCCGTGGGGAGCACACTCTCCCCTCTCAACACAAGAGTCCAGTTCCCTTACACTCTCACTTGGCGCACAGCGCCCAGCCTACTCCTACACAGCTACTACAGACTACAAAAAGACGCTGCAACTGTTGACATCAGCAGCAGCCCGAAGTACTTGAAGATGCCGCCCATGCAGACCATCGCCAATACAAGGTACGTGCCCTCACATCATCATCTTCATCATCATCCTTCACCTATCCCCTGACTTCACCCACACCTGTCCCCTCTGTCACCCGAAGACCACCCCTGCGCTTCACTGTATTCCAAGCCCACCAGCTATGGTGGCTGGGCTATGGCGCTGCCSTCAGCAGCGCCCTCCTCCTCTGCACGACCGCACGTGCTGCAMCTCGCCTCCCTGCGCTAGCAGCAGCCTACGAGCATTAGCTCCAGCAGCGCTGCCGCCCAGCATGCGAGTGCCTGAATGAGGCAGCCAGGGCCGGGCTCTTTCCTTTATGGAAAGAGTTGGCCTGCTCACGCAGCCTGGCTGCCTTGGCCTGGGCCCGGAAGCTTCCGGAAGGCCCCAGGAGGCTGCCTGGATGCAGCAGCTACTGGGCTGCTGGGCCTCGTTCGGTTGGGCGCCCAACTGCCTCTGTATGAGGCTGCGAATCACGGCCAGGGCCTGCATTCTTTSGAAAGGCCCGGTAGGCCGTGGAAATGTCTTTGTGGCTCGGCCTGTGTTTCTTTCAACCAACTGGCGCGTCGCAACTGCCTGAACCCCAAATATGAAATTGTCAGCCGAAGGCCTTTTGCAAAAAGTCAGGCCCGCCTTCACTTAGGGCGGGCACCTCCTCCTTCACTTAGGGCGGGTAMGGCTGCAGACAGGGCCCGGAAGGCCTACCGAGGACCCTGATCCTCGCATTCCCTCCTCCTCAACTTCGCGAGTCCCCTGAGAAGTCTTCTTATTCTGCAGGCATCTTCCCTTTCC